ATGCATCGTTTGCAACACAGTTTCCTGATGCTCTGGCCACCACAGGATTATCAACGGTGCCCTATCTGCTGCATCGAGCAGGGTGGATAAGGATTTGGATGCTACTGCTCAAACCTTCCCGTCTTCTTTTTCTTTTCTGACGCTTTTTCTCTCTTATCGTGCTTTTACAACTTCAATTTTATCCCCCCGTTTTCAACCCCCATGTCTTAGCCCTCCCCCATCATGATTTGATAGGCGTTTATCTTCTAGTTTCAACATGCATGCTAACGCGGATCGTCATTCCTGCCCTGTCGACAAGCCCATGTCTAACCAAGCGGTCCACCCCGGTTCATCTGCTTCCATTTGGGGCCCCAGATCTTCCTTCAGATTGGCGTGCCTCAGTGTACGCACATTGTTACAGATCGGTCAACAGGCAGCCCTTGCCCGAACATTAGAGACCATCTCAATCGATATCTGCTGCTTATCGGTGACCCGCCTGCAAGATTCGAGCTCCGTGCTCGTTTTGCGATCCTCTTCTGGTGATACCAGCAGCACTTTCTCATTGCGCCTACCCGGAGACGATGCAGCTTCGAGCATCGGCCAAACCGGTGTTGGTATTGCTCTAAGTCTCCGGGCTGAAGCTGCTCTGGTTGATTGGATTCCATTCAGTAGTCGGCTGTATGCGGTCCGATAGGCTGGCTCGTTCAAAGCTTCGAAGTAGCTCACTGGATACAATTAAAGGTCACTGGTCTCAGGTTCACCAGACCTTATGAGCAGCAGGCAAATCCTCATCTGGTGAGTACTAACCAACATGGACATTTCATCTCTTCTGGTTCTCTGGAACTTATCCATGCTTACCGATGCATTCCGGCTATAAGCGAATATAGTGAGACTCAGAAACCCGGGCAAAGCACCGTGCTAGCATGAAGATAGACCGCAAAGCGTGGTGGTCTCATCGTGCATCAGAGATGGAAGTGGCCGCTTCCCTCGGAAGTTATTCCGGCTGATACGGAAAACGGACTGCAGGAGACCTGGAGTGGACAGCGTTTTCACAACTTGTCAAAACGTTTGGAGTATTTGGCTGAGCAATTTGAAAGGCAATTTAGTCCATCAGAATTGCCAGGTTTCTCACCGGCCACTAATCGCCCTGCTCCGTTTGCTGTCCCTTTGCATCCGCCCTCTCGCTCAGTACTCGAACGTGATGTCGGACTACTGAAGTTATCTAAAGCCGCTGGACTAGATGATCTTCCTCCAGCCCTCTTCAAATTCGGGAGACCTGCTCTTGTGGATGATTTACACGAGTTACTTTTGAAACTGTGGGAGCAGGAAACTGTCCCAACCGATTGGAGCCGCTCCGTCATAGTCCCAATTTTCATGAGACGCTCACGATCGGAATACGACAACCATAGAGGAATCAGTCTGATCTCCATCGCCTCCAAATCTCTTGCCTCTGTCATCCTTCACAGACTTACTGACACTCGTGAAAGCCAGATTCGTGAAGAGCAAGCCGGGTTTCGTCGAGGTCGTGGCTGCATTGACCACATCTTCACTTTGCGTCAGCTGTTTGAGCTCTCTCACATATATTGGGTGCCCACCGTTGTCATGTTCCTCGATATCAAAGGTGCATTCGATTCGGTGGATAGACTTGCACTTTGGGACGGTCTGCTACGGAAAGATGTGTCCGAATAATATGTTATTTATATAAGAGCGCTTTAAGCGTTAGCTTGGGCAGTGTTTGGGCTTACGGGTAACTGTCGCCGCACTTCAGTATCTCCAGCGGTGTGAGATAAGCATGCCCGTTAGTACCTTTTCTTTTCATCTTTGCTCTTGACGAACTCATGGAAATCATGTTCACAGGACACGACTTAGAAGGTGGAGGTGCTCCGAGGTGAACTACTTTTTGACATGGAGTGTGCTGACGATATTGCCCTCATCTGTGACAGCTTACAAACTTGCCAAGCTGCACTGGCTCTCAGTTACTTCGGGCTTTCCTTCGCAGCCTCGAAGTGCAAGGTTTTTTCTAAGATTGGCCTGGACCGCCTCCTTCGCTGATCCTTGGTGGAGGGCAGCTAGAATTCGTACAAAAATTCAACTACGTAGTAAGTTTTATCAGCGCCCATGGGATTGAAGATGAGATCACGTACCATATAGCAAATGCTTGAGGCGCTTTTGCTAACTTCGCCACTTACAGTGCCGGCGTGACGTCACTCTCACCCGGAAGTGTATCGTGTACAATGCAGCGGTACGTTCGACCTACTGTACGATTGTGAAGCCTGGCCCCTTAGATCAGCGGACATAAAGAGGCTAGTTACGTTTGACCACGGTGCCTTCGCCATTTAGCTCACATCTGATGGGAACACCGAGTAAGCAACGAACGTGTTCGACGCCTTGTTTACGGCACAGGAAAAGGAAATGAACCGCTCAGCAGCGTTATTTCACGCACCAGGCTCCGATGGCTCGGCCACGTGTTACGCATGCCAGCCCACCGACTCCGTTGACGTGCATTGTTTGCGCGTCGGGAATGTGGATGAAAGGAGAGGAAAGGTTACCAAACGATGACTTGGTGGAGAAGAATGAACGCTCTCAAAGTGCTCGTGGCCTGAGTCATGAATAATTTGGCTGAGTTCCACTCCGCTCAGGTTTTCTCTACTTGTTGGGTCCAAATTAGGACGAAATCGTAGTCGTGTTGTGCCAGTGTTGGGAGATGCAACACAGAAATATTTCCAATGAAAGCCCTCACTTCTAAGCTGACCTCGATTGGGGCGTCTCGGCTCCCTTGCTTGGGTCCGAAAGACGATGAACACCTTTGGCTGGACACACTTGCCGACCTCAGTGGCGTTCGTGCTGTGAGTTTCTTTGTCCCTCTCCCTTCAGCCACCATCTTATTTCGTAGCCTAATATAATTTTTCATGGTAATTTTTTTATTGCATAGTAGCCGACTGGTAGCTTTCCGGAACGATGACCATCAGCTGCTAGTAGCTCAGCTGGTATGCATCGGTTACTTTTTTCTTTTTTAATATATTGCAACACATTAGCTGATGTGTTCCTTACTACCTCTAGCTAACGTGTATGATGATGATATGATGATGCAAAATTGCTAACCTTGCAATCGCACTATAAATGAACTTCTCAGCATATCAACAACAACAACAACGACGACGACGACAACAACAACGACAACAACAACTCTTTCTCTGATTTATTCATAGATTTACTGTGGCAGCATAGGATTGTCGATTATTCAACATCCTTGAATCTCACTTCATATTTAGCGCATGGAAACCTTTTTTTCTCCACGTTATTGGGTCTATCCCACTCTTACCTAGGTAATTTCCCTTCAAGCATACATATCATATCCAGATCGCTGTGATCCATTACCTTAAATCTCAATCCAACTCCCCTGTCTACCGCTTTGTGTATTTCTTACATGTTTCCACAACATTCAATTACCACATAAGCCTGATTAAGCCACTTCATCTATTCCCTGGGAAAACCACAACGCTCTTTAATATGAAAAGTTATTATCGGTTGCACACAAGTAAGCGCCTCCATCTCACCGGATGGTCATGTTCTCACATTTATTTGACTGCTCAACACACCTCTAGCGCGCAGTATGTGCATACGCTTTTGGTTGCGATAAAGGCGGATGTAATTTGTTTGCTCTTTCATCATTTGTTCACTCGCGCTGTTTAGTATCATTAAGGCCGGGCCATTTTTTATCTACCATAAATATTACTTGAGTCAGCGTACCTTTCTTCCTCAAGAATACCTCACTTTCGCTAACAACTCACATTCTCTTGCCTTTATCGTCCACCTCGCAACAACATACTTTACTGAGTATTTTTTGAAAATATCCATCGAGTAGCTTATAGTAGGCGTACTTTTGATACTAAATATACCTACTACCACATGTTCCTTTCACTAATGGGCTGAACATACATCCATGTATGCTGTATCTAGGGAGTTGCATCACTGCTGGTGGCGGCATTGGAGATAAAGTCTCACAACGGATTGCAAAGCCCGCCTTGCATTCATTAAATTGAGACACCCAATGGCGATGTCGTGATGTCAGTCTCAAGCTCAAGGACGGTGTACAATGCTTCTGTCAGTGCAGTACTCTTGTACGGCTGTGAGACTTGGTCTATTCGCTTGGAAGACATACAGCGGTTGCCAATCTTCGACAATCGCTGTCTATGAAGGACTGCTCGGCTGTGGTGGCAACACCACGTAAGCAATGCAGAAGTGCGAGACCCAGTGCTTGGAGCGAATAGTGCCAGTCTTCAGAACGTTATTCACCGACATCGCATGCGTTGGCTCGGGCATGTTTTGTGCATGACAGCCCGTCGCCTTCCACGTCGAGCGCTATTTACACTCCCATAGAGCCATTGGAAAAACTGCCGCGGTGAACAGCCAATGACGTGGAGAAGGAGCATGAAGAAGGCAACTTCAACTTTGGCGGCAGTCGGACCAGTCCGTCTCCCATGTTGGGGACCACGAGATGCTGAATCTCATTGGTTGGAAACATTAGATATCATGGCCCGTAACGGACATCAGTGGCACCAATATTGTTCTGCCATTTTATCCCCCCTTTAATAGATACAACACAAAAAAACAAAAAAATTCAAAATGGCATGTGTAAAACCAAAAAAATCGTTTTCCATTTTTAAAATCTCAGTTAGTGTTTCTATCTTCTCCACTTTTTCTGCCATGGTTCTGATGGCACAATGTCTTAACAGACTGTGAATTTATATAAATAAATAAATAAATAAATATATGGTTGCCACTAATAACGGTGACGAGCCGGACACAGATTTTAAATTTATGTTTCGCGTGAATCATTTTGCCAGTGAATTGATACGGTTTGATTGCCAAGTTTGGCACTGTCAGCAGAGTATGGTGATAAAAATGGCTTTGTCCTGTCCTACCGGGATTTGGACCCGTTATAAATCGCAAGCATTGATCTTAATTATGTTACCACAATTCTTACGTTCACCATGATTACTCACTGATCCTCTGTTTCAGGTTTTTGGCTGATAGCGTGAATCGCCTCTGTCAATGATAACGGATCAGCGCTGTCATTATTATCCATTCTGGACACAGACTTCTTTATACGAGAAACAGAACACGGAGCATTAAATCGCTGTCACTTCGACTGTTAAACTTCCCCCATCGTTTGTCTTGTCTGATGCATCCTAGCTTTCGCCGTCTACTTCCTTTGCCTCAATTTCCAGGCTTTCATGGATGATTCGCAATTGTCTGGGTCTGGGGATTTTATTGTTGCCGGAAAGTGGCGTCTCATCCGCAAAATAGGCAATGGATCATTTGGTGCTATATTCCTTGGCGTCAATGTCCACACATCGGAGGAAGTGGCTGTGAAATTGGAACGGATCAATGCTAGACATCCCCAGTTATATTTTGAGAGCCGCGTTTATAAAGTGTTGCAGGTTGGTTGCGATTTCAACTAATCTATCCTCCTTGTATAAGGGCACTTCGGGTATTCCACATATACAATTCTACGGCTTGGATGGCGTCCGAAACATGTATCATGCACTTATCATGGATTTACTCGGTCCCAGTTTGGAGGACTTGTTCACTTTCTGCGGCAGACGATTCACCATGAAAACTGTACTGATGCTGGCAGACCAGATGCTGTGGCGGTTGGATTTCCTGCACGGCAAGAACTTTATCCATCGTGACATTAAACCGGACAATTTTCTGATGGGGATCGGTAGGAATTGCAACAAAGTATTTTTAGTGGACTTCGGATTGGCCAAAAAATTCCGGTTAGTTTTCTCTGGTGTTTCGCTCTTGTGCACTGGATGCCCCCGTAGACCCACAACGTGTTTGCAGTCTATGGTGGCCATCTTCTCCCTTTATATATCGTCTTTACCTTGTCAATTGCATGTCTGACGCGGTCCAGGTGCACAATACCAACTGATTTGGACGTTAATTTAGCAAAACTCATCTAAACTTACGCATTGGCTTCAGGGTGGATAATAAACCCTAACTACCCTCACCTAAGTTCCATTTCGTTCCGGTTGGCTGCACCACTTAGCTTCGTGTCTAGTTAATGCATTCTCATGATGAGTTCAGCTTAGTTCAAATGATCAACTATCAACCGTCTGTATACTTGGTCCGGATCCAATTACCTTGACTCGTATCGCCGAAAGAATAATAGCATTGATGACAACTTTACTGAACAATGTGCGGGAGAAGCAAGAAGAGATAATTTTGTGTGGCTGCATATGAAAGCCGTGAGGTACAACGACCTATTATGTTAAAGAGTACTTCAGACGTTTCACTTCAGTAGTCTTCGCCCAATATTTTCTTGTATTCCGACGCCGGCTTTGTCTCGACTATGTGCAGCAGCAAGTTCTTCCGTATATTCATTACTTTCCGTTCGAAACAGAGTTGGTGAGCGGCCCACTTCAAATCCGGTACCACAACTACTACCGGTGTCCTGGTGTACTGCTTGATGAGCGCATGTGAGCAGCAGTAATCACCATGATAAGGTAACTCGCACTGAACGATAGCCCAGGATGTAACGTCCTAGTCTTTTGCACCGGTTTTCGTAGGGTACACTTTGTAACGTTGGGATGAGCCTTGTGGCCACATGCCTTACCCGTTAAACCTTTGCACCTCACCCCAGGTAATAGAACCAAGTGCAGAAGCTGCGCCTGAGCACCTCTAGCACATGAAGCGTTTTGGCAAAGCCTATTTGTGCTGTCCACGTACCTTAGGTCGCAGCGTGAAAGCACACCGAGGTCTTTCATGAATGATTTGGGATGCACCATTTGACCGACCAAAGTGTAGGTTCAACTGTGTCCATCCTTACGCAGACTCATGAATAACGATTTGTCCGGGTTTATCGGAAGGCTGACTCCTGCACACCACATGGAGGGTTGGTCATGATGGCGCTAAAGCAGGTCACAGTCATCAGACCAACTGATTATTATCCACACCTTCCAGTCATCAGTAAACAACGTTTCAGCCAAACGGCGAAGCTGAGGCACATTGTTTAATGGATCAGGAACAAAATGAGTCTCAGTACCGCGCCTTGGGGCACGCTACTACTCGAGGGATACCACTTGGTCAGATGGTCGTCAGCCTGTACTTTTCACTTTCGATCCACAGGGAAATTCCTAATCCATTGAGGTCGCGAGAAGCCCACGCCGCTCATCATCAGCCCGTGGAGAAGAACCACTTGCTTCTCCTTGTCAAACACCTTACTAAAATCAATCTAAATGACGTTGATCGGATTCCCCTCGTTCAGCGCTTTCAACCATTCGTATCTCGTCACCATCACGTTGGTACTGCATGAATGACATTTCACGAAACCATGCTGTGTTGGCGTCAAAAAGCTTTTCGCCTCGGGAGGCTGCAGAAGGCCCTTCTTCACGATCCCGAGTGTCTTGGTCAAAGTGGCGGTCAGGCAGATCGGTCGGTTGTTGTCCACCTTGCTTGGTTCATCTCCTTTCGGTAATGGCTTTACGATTGAGCATTTCCAGTCCCTTGGTAATGAACCTGTGGACAGCGATCTGTTGCACAGCTCAGTCACGGATGGCGAGATGATGGCCGATAATTTGAGGATCAGCAAGTGGCTTGCATCAGGCTTGGTAGGCCTGATCCCGTTAGGACTGGCCAGCAGCTTGCGTACATCTTAAGTGCTACAATTCAGTCTGTCTGGTTCGGTAGACGTGATAGCCGTCATACTCGTTAGCGACATTTGGTCATTTGCAATTACGGAAGGGAAGTGCGCTGCCAATGAGGACGCACGTTCAGTACTCCAGATTACGGGCTGTACATTTGAAGCTTCCAACACTGGCACATTACCTACAAGCCTCAGGCGCCGCATTACGTAGGCAAATATCCTCCTGGAAGCCGTTTTTGCTGTGATTACAACCTGCTTTTCAAAGTTCTGGCGCTTTTGTGTTTTCGCGTTGTTGCAGAAATTTCGCTGTCTTTTGTATGCTTAGTAGTCCTCGGCTGATGTTGCATTCTTAATGCTTCTTCACCGCAGTTGGGCTAAACCAACTTACACTTAAACAAGGTCTTTTTACGCTGGATAAGCTTCTTTTCACTTTATTTCGTTTGTTCTGCCTACCTGAATAATCTGCTATTAACCGGCCACGTTGCTTACGCTAATTGCGCTTATCTTTGGTAACTTTGTTGCGTTTGTAGCATTTTTAAGTTTCTTGTGGACATTTCTTACTTATCGCGAATTCGTTGCTAACCAACTGACTTCATATGCTAATTTACGGAAGAGTTATGCCGCCGTATCTGTATGCATTATTGGGTTTATTTTATTTCATCTTGTCGTTTCAAGCAAATGGCTGTTGCTTGATATCCCCGGTGTGGCTGCGCTTGATGTGCATGTTGACAAGGTGCCTACCTGTCTATTGCCCACAACCTCGTTCATACTGGCTCCAGGAGACAGTTGGTCGTTGCTGGATGGGACGGGGTGCACGGTCCTCGTGGCCGTGCTAAGCTCGTAGAGCGGTTCCATGCATTCAGTGTGAAGCGGACTACGGTCCAGCCACCGAATTATGTACGATTGATTCCCAAATACAGCGTGGTTGTGTTTGCCTGTGAAGGAGTGTGGGCCGGCTCCGTTGATGAAACGTGGCTCCCATCCACATGCCTCCCGGTCTTATTTCTTCGGGTTTACACTGGATATGGGGTGTGGATGGAGCTATGGGTGGTGCAGCGCAAACCATCCATGGTCCCTCTGTAGGCGCAGGCGTCCTGTGGCTGGCCACACTGACAGGCAAATCCGAAACCGGATGCCGCCAACCATATATATATATATATATATATATATATATATATATATATATATATATATATAATTAGCAGACTACACTATAGATATAGAGCCGGCGAGAACCATGAAATGGAAGTAATAAATGCAGAGACAACTAAGAAGATAAGGATGAGCGTTGTAGAAAAAAACTGTGTTTTCGTATGTTGTGTCTTTTTTGTTTTGTTATTTTCACACTCCGTTATATCATTTTTTTATTCGTTAAATGTTTGCGATGTAAATCAAGAGAATCAAGACAATTACTCATGCACATTTCCATTGGGCCCGGTTCTGCGCCATCTCCGAAAGAGTTTCCAGCCAGCGGTATTCTTCCTCTTGAATCCCCAATCCGGAAGGCGCACAAGACCTACGACAGCTAAACTGGAAGTCATCGCTGTAATCGTTTGTTGCCATGTGATATGCTGACCACTGCGCGGTTTCTTACAGCCTGGTCCTGTTCGAGCGAACCTTGCGCGTTGGGGCAGCCGTTCGCATGGCATGCTTACAACGTGACCCAGCTATCTTAGTTGGCGCAGCGGTACCAGTCTGTCAAGTGGAAGTTCCGTGTTACCTAAGACGCGCCGTCTAACATCATCGTTGCGCACATGGTTTATCCACCATACTCGAGCTTTTCTTCGCAGACATTCACTGTCAACGGCCGAAATCCGACGCAAGTCATTTACACGAATCGGCCAGGTCTCACTCCCATATAGTAACACCGCGCGAACACAAACATTGCAGACCCTGCTTTTTACCAATAGTAAAACGTCACGACGCCGCCACAGATGCCTCAAGTTGGCGAACGCCGAACGGGCTTTGGCAATACGGAGGGAAATCCCTTTTCCAGTGCTACCATCAGCAGAGACACAGCTTCCCAGGTAAACAAACTTGTCCACTTGTTCAAGCCGCGTACCTTGGGGAGTGAGCACTAGGGCAGGTGAATGCCAATCCAGGACCAGGACTTTGCATTTCGTAGGAGTAAAGATCATGTCATATTTTGATGCTTCAGTCGCCAAGCGTCATCATCAAGCAAGACAATATCATCAGCATAATCTAAATCGATCACGCGGTTGCCAGGAAGAAGCTCTTCACCAAAACCCTGAAAACCCTCGAGAGCATTTAAAAGGACATCTTCCATCGCAAAATTGAAGTGAGACAACACGAATTTATTCCATAGCCTGTGCCGGCGTCAAGCCAGTTTACTATACTCTTTGTCGAACCATTGTGTATTGTTCAGTCGTTGTGGAGTTCTCTGAGCTGGGAGAACTCCACAACAACTGAACAAGCCTCCCGAGCTACCAATATTCCAAATCATTGTGTATTGACTGGTTCAACTTTCCGATTCTTAAAGGACACAAATCGGGTGCACAACGATTTTACTTCCTCGTCTATAATAGACTTGCAGGTTTCAACAGATTAATTCTATAGTAACGACTAATCCATCTGGTCCGCGTCTTTAGTGAGACTATTAAAGTCCGACTTTCAGTAATTGAACGTTGGCCGTTGCGGAGAAGAACACGGCAGCGGCAGCTCCAAGGTGTGGTCACTCGCTCCCTTGGGCTCCAAGGCCTGAATATCATACACACGTTGACCACAGCTGGTCAATAGCAGATCTTGGCACTGTGAAGTCGAGCGCGCGGTTATGCGCGTCCACTGGTTTTAACTTTGCTCAGGCCATTGTATGCAAGCTAAGTCGAAATCGCCCATGAGCATGAACTGCGGATGACTCGTGGTTGTAGACTTGCGGCAACCTGTCCAAACGGGTGCTCAGGGGACTGCGATAGACCACAACTACGAGCAGCCAGCTGCGTTTGCGATGAGTCGGATACCACAGCTGTTCACATGCATCATCGGCGCATCTGTAGCTGCCCACGAGTCCCGCACAAGGAGGACCGCATGTATAGCGTCACGCCACGGTGGTTATTTGGTGGTCTATCTCAGCGGAGTCACAAGTAGCCGTTGATTTCTACTTCTTGGATGGTT